GACACAGATCTGCAGCGAGCGGTTTGCGCATTTGGGTGAAAGTCGTCGGCCTGTGGTTTACAATTTGGGAAAAAGCCGTGACGCGGCCAAATGTTTCCGGTTATTCGCTAGAATGAAAAATGTTTACAATTATTATCCAATTATATAGGTAGGTAGATATATGGGTATATACTGACTTGCCGGTAAGTAAATCGTATAAAATTTGTTCAATCTATCGTTGTGCAATGGTCAAGTGTATAGGTATAGGTATTAACTATCAGAATAACTATTACTATATAATAATAGTATTTATGCATGAGAGTGATATTGTACTATGAGAGGTTTGTGTTTCAGGGCTGACGAGCGTTTCTTTTTTACTTTTAAAGTTCGAAGAAATTTCTTGAATATATAGTTTCAAACGATAAATAATTGAACACTAAAATTATTTATTCATGATTATTATTTTTTAGAAACKAGATACACTTTCAAAACATTCTGATATAAATAATAACAGTGTACTATAACATTGTATACAATCTAAAAGTCAAATAAAATGTATATTGATTATTAGTTCCAAATAAGTATGTTGGGCCAAACTCAGAAGTTTAACGTAGAACGTCTTATTGTCTGACACGGTGAATCCTCCATTGTCAGGATCGATTAATTTACCTCAGCCTCTCTCCCTTTCTCTTTATTTTTATCTCTACTACAAAAATATAAAATTAAAAAATTATATTTGTGCGAATAATATAATTTACAACGACCTGTTGCGTGTACATGATGTGTCATRAAATGACATGTTAATTTAATAATAAAAAACTAAAACACACACCGATATTTTTGCYAGACGCGTGATTAACAATTTGTTCAAGGTAAAAAAACAAAAAATACTGGTAAAATATTTGTCGACAACTTGGTATTAAATGTACAAGTAGGACCTACCTTTAACGGCTGTAAGTGAAAATTTAAGAAAGCATTCTGCTGAGTCACACTCAACACTGTATAAATGTTTYCAGTAGCAACTTACTGTTTTCGTTCGGACATTAGCACATATAAACAATATTTCGTAAGATTGACAGTGGGTGCGAGACCCCGAGACGAGAAACCATTACTCAGGAGAAGTACCTATAATTATTTTTAACGCGTGTTCATATATATATGTGTGTGTGTATAGAAACGGAATGTAAACACAAGTTCAAGGTCTCCGGTATTGTTTTCTCGTAATGATCGTACGTAGAAATAATTATAATGATAATAAAATAACCCATCATCCAGACAACATATTATTAAAATATTATGATACCACAACGAATCGTCCAGGATATCACGCTATATTAATTATAATATATTATTGTTCATCATGGATATGTTAAATTTACACCTGAAATGGGTAAATGGCCTCTAAGAATAATTACAACAGKCCCTGGTTGCAGCAGGTACACGTAATGACGTATGAAGTAAATCATAAATATGTTAAATAGGTAGGTATATAGGTACTCGTATTTTTTTATGGACGCAGACGTCGTAAATAAGGCGTGATACTCAGGTTTCGTTTCAATTATAGACTACTTGCTATTGCTATCCACCAGACCGTGGTGACAATTATCAGTTTTCTTGATCCAAGATTGATACATTGAGTGCCCATACATAATAATATTTTATGTGCCTTTATGACGTGAGTAAAATATGTAATATTCACAAGTCTTCAAAGACCATATGTACAGGCAGGCCCGGCTCAAGGGGTAGGCGGCATAGGCCCACGCCTAGGGCGGCATTTAACATTTTTTT